CAATTTTTTTCTTTCAAGGTTTTATATATGTCATCCCATTGCCTTCTTGCCTGCATGGTTTCTGCTGAATAATCAGAGCTTAGTCTTATTGTTTCTCCTCTGTATGTGACTTTTTGTTTTTCTCAAGCTCCTCTCAAGATTCTTTGTCTTTGGTTTTAGAGAGTATGATAATGATATGCCTTGGTGATTTTCTTTTGGGGTCTATCCTATATGGGGTTTGTTAAGCTTCCTGGATGGTCAGTTTTTCATCTTTCATGATATTGGGGAAGTTTTCTGTCAGCTTTTCAATGATCCTCTCTGTGTTTTCGGTTTTCTCCCCGTTCTGGAACTCTGATCACTTGCAGATTTTTGCTTTTGATTGTATCCCGCATAATTTTCAAGGTTTCTTCATTTTTCTTTGTTCTTTTTTCTGATTTTTCCTCAGAGTTGTATCCAAGTGTTTTTCTTCAGTTTCGCTGAGCCTGTCTCCCATCGTTTCAAATCTGCTCCTCAGCCCTTCTATGAGACTGTCCATTTCTGAAATCTTGTTGTTTATTGTTTGGATTTCTAATGGTTATTTTTGTAAGATTTCTAGTTGTCAATTTATTTAGCATTTTGTTCCTGTATTATTTTCTAGAATTCTTCCATTTTTTTGTCTGTATTTTCCATGAATTTGTCTATTTTTTCCTCACTTTTGTCTGTTTTTTGCTTCAACTCTTAGATAATTTTGAATATTAGAGATTTGAATTCCCTATCAGTTAGGTCTAGTGCCTTTTTGTCTACTGGATTGTCAGCTGTTTTATTTTGGATGCCTACTGGAACCATCCTGTCTTGTTTTTGTAAAAGTTTTGATACTGTCTGCTGTCTTCCGGGCATTCAGTGTTTATTTTCCTCGTTTACTGATTGTAGATTTGTTTGTTTCGTCCTGCTTTTTTGTTTTATTTGGTTATGTCTGAGCAGGAGGGCTGTGCGTTCTTTGTTGTTTGCTTGTCTTTGGGCACTATACTTTTCACCTCCTTCTCCAATAGGCAGGGTCAGTCACTCAGGTATGGTACAGCAGAACAAGTCCAGCTGAAGGGGAGCTGCTAGGATAGTTTTTTTGTGGCACGTACCAAGGCTGACAGCGTGGACCAGGAATCAGTGCAGGGCAGGTTCCAGCAGGCCGTGCCTCTGTTGTTTGGGAGTGCAATGTTTAGCACACGGTGCAGTCAGGCAGGAAGGAGGGGGTAGACTGTGATGTGTGGAGCTAAGACGGGTACGGGAAAGATGAGAGACAGGAGAGAGGAACTGGAACCAAAGACATAGACACAAACAACAAAGAGTGCTAAGGGAGCTTGCTATTGGAGTGGAGAGATGAGAGACTGAGAAATGGGGAAAAACAAAAACGGAAAAAAAAGAAAAAGGGTAGGGAAAAAAATGAACAAATTGAGAAACTAGAAATGAAGACAGACAAAAAGGGAATGAGAGAGAAGAAAACTAAACAATGAAAAAAAAAACCCAAAAACAAACAAACAAAAAAACAGGAAAAAAGAAATGTCCCAAAGGATGTCCCTGTGTGTCTGCGCAGAGTAAGGGACTAGCTTCCAAGCCATGAGATACTGCCCAGCTAGAATGGGCTCCCAAGCCAAAAAAAGAAAAAGAAAACAAACAAATCAAAACAGAACAAATCAGAGCAAAAAAACAAAAAGCCGCGGGGGTGCCACCAGCGTAGCGGCACGGGCTGGGAAGCAGTTTCACAGATGAGCGGTGTTTCGCAGCCTTTCAGGAAGAAGCAAAGATGGCGCACAGAGCCAAGTATTTGAGAGAAGGGAGGGGAAGGTGGTGCCAGGTAAGGTAGAAATCTAAAGAAGCGGAAAAAAGCAACATCAGCAGCCAACAAATGGCACTCAGGGAGCTGGTCAGTGCGGACCGGTGGAATCCAAGCGGCACTGGGGGGAAGAAGCTTGTGCTTCCCGGCTAATAGACTGTGGCTGCAGGAAGCAGAGGAGGCTAAGAGGGGGTGAAAAAGTGTGGGGGGTGGGAAAGCCTATATCGTGGGTTATTGTTTGTTCTGTCTCCTGCTGGAAGCTCCGTTAAGCTGCTTTCTCGTACCTCCTGTTCGCTGATCTACGACAGGAGTCCAAGATGGCGGATCCGTGCTGCGGTAGCTGACAGGGGACCTCTGCGTGTATCTCTCCTCGCTCTCTGTTCTCAGTCAGTTTCTTATACCATTTGGTGCTTGGCTGAGTTCTTTATCTCTTCATTTAATGGTTAGGGTTTCAGGACTGACATGTGACTCTGTTTGACTTAGTTTTTCTGATCTTTGCTGCAGAGGGATGGCGTGGTTCTTCTGACTATAGTGCCATGTTGCCCAGAAGTCACTTGACACTTTTTTTTTTTAAGGATGTTGTTGCTGTTGTCAGGTGCCGTTGAGTCGGCTACGACTCATAGCAACCCTATGTACAACAGAACGAAACACTGCCCGGTCCTGCACCACCTCACAACCACTGTTATGTTCAAGCCCACTGCTGCAGCCACTGTGTCAATTCATCTCATTGAGGGTCTTATTTTTTGCTGACCTTCTACTTTACCAAGCATGATGTCCTTCTCCAGGGACTGGTCCCTCCTGATAACATGTCCAAAGTACGTGAGATGAAGTCTTGCCGTCCTGACTTCCAAGAAGCACTCGGGATATACTTCTTCAAAGACAGATTTGTTCATTCTTTTGGCAACCCATGGTATATTCAATATTCTTTGCCAACACCATAATTCAAAGGCATCAATTCTTCTTCAGTCTTCCTTATTCATTGTCCAGCTTTCGCATGATTATGAGGAGACTGAAAAAAACATGGCTTGCGTCAGATGCACCTCAGAACTCAAGGTGACATTTTTTGCTTTTTAACATTTTAAAGAGGTCTTTTGCAGCAGATCTGCCCAATGCAATACATTGTTTAATTTCTTGACTGCTGCTTCCATGGGTGTTGATTATGGATCCAAGTAAAACGAAGTCCTTGACAAGTTCAATATTTTCTCCTATTTATCCTGATGTTATTTATTGGTCTAGTTGTGAGGATCTTTCTTTTCTTTTGTTTTTTTTTAATGATACAAGCCAATTATTTTGTATACTATTGCTCACTTTGGGTTTGTCTGATGTTTCCCTATAATTAGATTCAGGTGACATATTTCTGGTAGGAACATCACAGAAGCAATACACTGTGTTCCTTCTAGGAATCACATCAAGTATGTTATGTTGGCTTTTCCCATTACTGGTGATGTATAGCTTTGCTCACGTAGTTAAGGTTGTGTTCACTAGATTAATCCATTCTGAAGTTATTCTTTTGTAATTAATAGGCAATTTACTTTGGGATTATGTAAGCGTCTTGTCCCCATCAAGCTTTCACCCACTGGTTTTAGCATCTATTGATGATTTCTGGCTGAATTAATTACTATGACGGCTGTCAGAGAGTGATATTCTAACTCTACCATTCCTTCTATATTAGCTGGCATTATATTTCAAGGAAGAGCTTTCCCCTTCCTCCTATTTATTTACCTATTTATTCATTTATTTAACTAATGGATTATTATTGCATGAATTGCTATTATTATTAGTCTGAAACTCAAATGTTCCAGTTTTGGCCAGTGGGAGCCTGTTCAAGCTAGCTCCTCTGTCCTTTGAAGTGCTTATTATTTTTTAAGCACATTTGTGATTTCAGATGTTTCAGGTTCATCTTTTACTTTTCTGCCTTATGCCTGATATCAGCCATTTCTCCAAGAAGCCCTACTTCCTTTCAGTGAGGAATGTGTTTAGAAACCAAGATCTAGGCTCTAGGTATGCTCATGGCCACTGCAATGTCTTTGCTTTTAGATTCTTTCAGCAGACAAAGCTAAGATATAAATACAAATATACACACACACACACCCACAGACCTACCTCTATTTATCCTCCTCTCACTCTACACACAAACAGTAAACTCATACTGATACCTACAATTCTAATTCAACACTAGAGGGTTCATTCTAATTTCCCCCCTTTCATATTTTAACTCCCGTCTCCAGCAGTGAGGGGTTCCCATTTTCCATATATTTACTGATCTGCTCAATCTTATAATTTCAAGAAAATTATTTCAGAATTGCTAAGCCTATACCACTGTAAAAAAAGAAACCTTCTACCTAGAATCCAACATTTGTTCAGAGTACCTTTTTAATTTAGACTGAGGACACACAGCCAAAGTACTGTGTTCACAAGTTCATTCAGCATGGTTACGTTATTCATCTGAAATACAGTTAAGTTCATTTTCTAATTATATTCCATTTTGGATTTTTCCTATCATCTATGTTTTTATTTCATTTAAAAAATGTAAAACATTAACATGGTTCCGAAAGTAAAAACTGTAACAGAACTACACCCAGCAAGTGTCATTCCTGCCATGCCTAAGCCCTTCCTACCATTCCCACTCATCCCTTGTAGGCAACAAATTTCACTAGTTTCTGGTTTATCCTCCCAGTTCTTTCTTTGTACAAAAACAAACAGATACATGTACACTTCCTAATAGCTTGAACATTTCTTCAAGGTTTCACAATGACCTCATTCCTTTTTTCCCCAGCAGCATAGTATTCTATTGAGTAGATGTATCACAGTTTATTCATCCAAACTCCTACATATAGGCATTTATGCTTGAAATTACAAATAATGTTGCACTGAATAATTCTGTGCAAATGCATGCTTTGCATCATTAGGAGAATATCTTCAGGGATAATTCCTAGGGGTAGGATTGCTGTGTCAAAAGGTACATGCACATGTAGTTTTGTTAGATATTGTCAAATTCCCCTCCATAAGGATGGCACCATCTTGTATTCCCACCAGCAATATATGAGAGAGTGCCTATGTCCCTACATTCTTGCCAACAGAGTGACAAAAATTAAAGTTTGATAATAGAACCCGCTAGGTGAGAAATTAGTAACACAGGGTAGCTTTAATCTTCATTTCTCTTATTATGTGACAAGAAGAATATATTACCAATCTCTTGTGACTGACCTTGGATTACTCTGATGCTCCAAAGAAGAATAAACCTCCCTTGGGCTCTTTATGCTATATCTCTGTAGAGTTAACACTGGATAAGCAATAGAAAGGGTCTATCTCCATTTCCTATGCTTATTCTTTTCTACCACATTTCCCTTGCACCATGGTGTTATCTTTACTAAACTTCCCCCAACTGTCTCCTGTAATGCAAAAACAAATCTGTGAAGGAACCAGTGGAGCCAGATGGAAGGGCATTCTAATCTCTTATTTCTGCAGCAGACTTCCGAATATAGGATGGGAGACAGAGTAGGGAATGGGAAAGCAGGCAGAATGAGAACATAGGTTGGAAGTATGTAGGATATAACTAAATAATTCAAGTCTGGCTCCTGCTAAAATGGATAGTGGGCCTAAACTCAAAAACCAAACCCATTGCCATCGAGTCAATTCTGACTCATAGCGACTCTATAAGACAGAGCAGAACTGCCCCATAGGGTTTTTAAGGCTGTAATCTTTACGGAAGCAGAATGTCATATCTTTCTCCCTAAGAGCAGCTGGTGGGTTTAAACTGTTAACCTTTTGGTTAGCAGCCAAGCATTGTAATCACTGAGCCACCCTAGGGACCCATAAAAGTCTCAGCACTATGACCCACCTGGAGTCAGACTGAAATTATATGACTCGGTCTCAAGGACAGACCGAAAGACACCACTGCAGAAGTTGAATATTTAACATTAAAAAGAGCATTACTAGTTTATACTTACACCAGTTGAAATAGCTCCAGGTCTCCTGTGGGTTTTCGTTTGACCATGAGTAGCAGGCTGGCCTTTAAATCCCCATCTTTTCATGACACCTTGAAAACCTTTACCAATACTAGAACAAAACAAACATGAGAATTTACATAATGAACAGAGCCTAAAATATTCCCAATTGTACACTTTCTTGATAGTACCTTAGAGTTTTAACAAGGCTTCTTATCTAAATAACTAGAAAAGGCTATACAAGCAAAATTGCAGACGAACACTCTTTATCTCTTCCTGGTTTGCACCCCTTCCTGGAATTTCATTCTATATAAAAAGATTTAATTCAAGATGTGAGAAAACAGCAAGCAAAGCACACGGAGTTTTATCTGAGCAGGGAATTTTACCATCACAATCCTGTGAAGACAACATAGGAAAAGTGGTAAAGTTTGAGAAGTTCTGAAGTATTCATAATAGCTGTGGCAGGCTACCACTAAAATGGAGCTCAAAGGTCCCCGCCTCCTGGCACTCATGCCTTTGTGTAATCCCCTCCTCTGAGTGTGGGCTAGATCTAGTGACTTGCTTCTAATGAAGAATAAGGCAAAAGTGATGAGATGTCAGTCCTGAGATTAGGGTACAAAGACACTCTGGCTTCTACCTTAGCACTCTCTTGCTCCCTAGACTCTGAAGGAAGCCAACTGAGTTATTGTAAGCTGTCCTATGAAGAGGCCCACGTAGCAACGATGCTGTCAGCCAAAAGCCACTAAGGATCTGGAGCCTACCAACAGCTACATTAATGAGCTTGGAAGCAGATCCTCCCCGTGCTGAGCCTTGAGATGACTGCAGCCCTGGATGACACACCTTGGTTGCACAAGTTAAGCTGCACTGTGATTCCTGACCATAGAAATTTAAGGTGATTGATGTTCACTGTTTTAAGCCACTGTGTTTTAGGCTAATGTGTTATGCAGCACGAGATAACTGATACAAAAGCACACCTAAAGAAAATGATGCCCTAAATGCTGAATCTATTTTACTTTTAGAGTTACAACATGAATCTCAGTCTCAAGGTTTGAATAGGAAGCCAATGGAGAAATAAAGTCAGAGGGTAACAATTACTTAAAAGTCTAATCTCTTAATCTTTACATGACATCACTTTATTTTCCAATTCTATTAACTAGAGAAACATTCTGAGAAGCGGGTAGAAAGTAAACAATGCTAAGGTTCAAACATTAAAGTTTGTCTCTGAATGTCAAATATATCAATCAGTACAAATGATACAATGAAAAGACTAGAAGGAACTGTAAGACTGTACTGGACGTATTTTATAGACTAAGACAAACTTTTTTGTCACCTTTCACTAGATAACAGGTTAACATATTTTTAATGTAGTGTTCCCTACCCAGAACAAAACTAGCTATTATTAGACAGTACAGAGCTCAGGCCATTTATAAAAAGACCAAAACAGATGATTATGAAAACCATCTTATTTCCACAAGGACTTTACTATGTATTTAGTAAAGAATTATCAGACAGCAATGAATTGAAGTAAGCCTATATGAGTAATATAGTCTGTTTTAGATAAATCAAGAATTCAAGATAGAAACTATTATAAATTATATGTATAATATAACATCTGAATATGATCAGACTATAGGTCAAAAGCCAAACACAGGAACCTAAGATGATCAAATACTTTACTGAAATTTGCTTCAGAAATTTACAAATATTTCCTCTTAACACTGAATCTTAGAACATACATAAAAAATAAAAAGGCAGGCAATTTAAGAATAAAAGAAGAAATATCTGAAGAGTCAAATGAACCTCTGATGTTGCTGTAACATGTGGTAAATGATACTTAAAAGAAAAAAGGAGAGGTGTAGTGATAATACTAATCTGAAATAAACATCTGTTTTTAAAATATCACATTCTAACACTGGCTGTTCTTGGTAGAAAGTTTACTGGTACCTTCTGAGTTCTCAAACTGATTCATCTCTTACTTAAAAAGAGAAAGTAAGTACATGCACCAATAAAACACATGCCAGGTAAATTACAGAAGATAATTTAGCTCATTGTAAATGATTATAAGATGAAAGTGGTATCCTGAAAGTGCTAATTATCCGTTGACTAATTATAGATTGTTTTCAATCTAGCTCTAAAATACATCACGTTGTTACACTGTGTACAATGCGAACCTTTTCAGTAAATAACCTTTAAACCAAAGGGTAAAACAAATGACACGACAAATTATTGGCTTAATTCAAATCACAAGAGAATAGAGTATACCTGTTGATCCATGGGTGGTACAGGTATCTATTCTATTGCTGTCAGTTGGCACCCAACTTGAGAATAAAAACAAAAGCAAGAAACGAACTAATCTATACTTAGCATAACCCAGGCACATTTCAAATACAAGGTTTTCACAGGTTCACATAAAATAAAAGCTTCGTTTTATTAAAAGTGATATACAACATATAAAATACAATGGTTCATCTCCCTCATCCCTTTTCCATTGCTGTTTTAGTAAGGACGGCAGGAAAAAAAAATCAAAGGAAAATTCAAATCAGAAAGAAGTGTTAGAAATACCCAAATATCTGAAAATTTGGAAAATATATAAACACATTTTATTAAGAGCACTTATACTTGTTAAACCAAAAATGTATCAGAAATTCAGATGTACCATTTAAATTTAGGAGGCTTTATTGTCCTGGTTTCTTGGTCCATTTTCCCTTAACACAATTTTATGTTCATTAAGGGCAGGGACTGCGCCTTATTTAGCCCTAATGCCCAATCCAGGTAAGTCAGAATAAAATTTCTTCCTGGCTATAGCTGTGTTGTGAGAACCAAGATGATTCGTTTCCTTCATCCTGCAGTTTCTAAAAGGTGTATCACAGGCATACTTTACCTTGTTATAATTTTTAAAAAGACGGTATTAAGTGGGTGGGTTGGGGAGCAGAGGTTTTTGGAAAGTTATGAACAGTAAGAATTTTGCAGAAGGGAATGCATAATTTAATGCTTCTCATTGCATTCTATAAACCTCTAGAGATTTCTACTCTGTGAAGTTCATCCCTTGTTTATTGTAACAAATGCCCAAATGCCTATTAGCAACCCTCAGGCTTTAATATAAAATCTATCATCTATTTCCCCACTTTTGTGGGAAGCTGCCTTTCACTGCACGATTCTTGATATACTTGTCCCTGAGGTGAGCAGTGACCTGTTCTTTTAAGCCTGTCCATTTGAGTCCTTTGCAAACTTGCTCCAATATCCCCATCACCTTGAGTAGCTCCCTCACCTCTGGCTCTTTCTCCATGATGCTCCCTCACCCCTTTGGAAAGAAACTGCTTGAAAGTGCTCATAGTGCTGGGTCTCTCCCTCTCACAATATCCGTGATATTAAAAGTATAACGTCCCATTGCTCTTTGGAACTTGCTCTGGGGCTAACCCCTCAATTCCCAAAGCCTTTTATTAACATAATTTTATTATGAAAGTTTTTAAGATTAAAGTTTATTATGGAAGTTTTGAAATATATTCAAAAGCAGAGAAACTAGTATGAACCCACACATCCTCCACCCATTAACAATTACTAACATCCTATTTTGTTTTATCTACTTCTCTCCTCCCAACTCCAGTGGTTTATTTTAAGGCAAACTCCAGATATTGTATCATTTTATACAAAAATATTTCAGTATGGACCTCCAAAAGATAAGAATTCTTTTTAAGAACAAAACACCATTATTACAACCCCTTAAAATTAGTAAATTCCTTTCCTTAATATTAAATATCCAGTCGATGTTCAAATTTCTATGGCCCCTTTTTAAACAGAATCTCTCCACAGGGTTGTCCTCTCCCTTCCCTCCTAGCCTCCCTAATCACAATCACTCTCCCTATTTTCCTACTTCCCTGTTGCTCTTTGAGACATCCCTTTCCCCTTGCTGCTTCAAGAAAAGATGATCTCAGAGTCCTGCCTGTGACCCTCTTCTCATGATGGTTTAAACCAGGGGTTGGCAAACTATGGCCTGCACTGGCCACCTGTTTTTGTAAATGAATTTTTTATTGGAACACAGCCACATGCATTCATTTACATACTGTCTATGGCTGCTTTAGAGCTATAATGGTGAATTGAGAGTTAACAACGGAGACCATATGGCCTGTAAACCTAAAATGGTTACTATCTGACATTTTGAGAAAAAGTTTGCCAATCCCCAAAACCAATACTTATAAACCGGAGTTCCATGAACCCTGCCCTCTGATAAGAATCTCTCCTGCTGTCATCCCAATCCACAGATGTACTGACCATATCCAATCAGAAGTGCCTCAGCCATTCATTAGTTTCTAAAACAGAAACTGAACATCTTCCCCTCTTCAGGCTATCCTCATGCCACTACAGTACCATTTCTAAGTTGATAATCTGATCACACAAGCCTTTCCTCTGCTTTAAAAGACAAAACAATAACAAAAACCAAACCACAACCCTGTATGGTTCCCTAGCGATGTCTTTTGCCTGACGCATACAAGGTCTTTTGTAACTAGACCCAGCTTAGCTTTTAAATACTGCCCACCACAGCGTCTGTGCCCACCACAAATCCTAGTCTTAGTAAATTGCTCCATGAATCCCTAAATACGCCCTTCTCCTTCATGCCCTTGCTCATTCTGGTCCTCCTGCCTCAAATACCCTTCCCACTGCACTGTTTTTCTACTATTACTATGAAAAAAGAACAAAAAGCATTTATCAAGGGTTGCATCATCTTCAAAGTACTTGATTCTCTTTATTAAAAAAATGAAAATCAATACTAAGCAGAGGTTTTTCAATCAGAATCATCTCTAAATTAAAAGCTTAAACTTTCTTTAGCGAATTCATGCTGTAAGAAGGTTAAGTGACTTGTATATAATCTCTCAGGAAATCAGTAACTGAGTACTAAATAAAGAAAGAGAGGACTCTTAACTGCTCTAAGAATGTGCCAAGATCAGGTTGTATTTTTATATTTAATAAATAAAAATGGGGGTGCAGGTAGAAAGGTGAAGAAAACAATGGTTAAAAATCAGCTTCTCTATGCTATGGTTAAACACTGTGTTTGAATATAGGGAAATGAAGACTCGCTGTTCCTAGCCAAATCGAGACTCTGCTTTCCTTATAAAA